AAAGGAGTGGCTGTAAATGCCATTCTCCCTACTTCGTGTATGTAGCATGTCAGTATTTTATTTAATCATTGAAACATTTCCCTTCATAAAATACTCGATCATTATATTATATTCTATTAAACAATGCTGCTGATTAAGTGCCTTTTAAAAATAAAAAAAAACAAGTGTCTGGTAGCTTTTTGAATCCAACAGCCACAGTTGTGCAGTTAGACGAAAAAAGTAATTTTCTAACTCTAAATCCTAACTACAGAGGTACTGTTCTATTTCCATTGTTCATTTTATTGTCAAAGAATGTTTGTCTGCTATACAGTATATGCAGGTATCATCTGGTGGCTGAGTGTGACAACAATCAGCAGCTTCCTGTTAGTAATGTTACAGCTTGCTGTAGTCTGTTCTGTAGTCTGTTCTTGTACACTCTGTTACATTGTGCTGTGTTTTCTTTGCTCTAAAAACTGAAGATAGGCCACAGCCTAGTTCCTAAAAGCATGCGCCCCGTTTGTTTGTTTTAGTTTTGTTTATCTGACTATGTGTTGTAGAGTAGACACACAAATCTCCGCTATATAAAAGAAAGTTATTTATGAAAACGATTGAAACGTTCTGACAAGCGCCCTTATTATGTGCAGTACTTATTAACCACAACCATCGAAGAAGTGAAGACAAACTGATCAGAGCATTCAGTATATCAGTACTCATTCATAGATCCAGTCAACTAAATATAGGAAAAAAATATTGTTAATTAAAGTCAAAAGGGGTGCCGGGAGCCTAACTACCTAAACTCGAATCCCACCTGTTGCTCCTTTCCCACGTCATAACCACACTCCCTCTCTCCCTGGTTTTTGACTCTATCCAGTGTCCTATCTCTGAAATAAAGGCATAAGAAGCCCCAAAAATGTAATCTTAAAAAAAGGAGTGAAGCAAAAGAGATAGTAAATAGGTACTTAAAAAAAAAAAAAAAGGATCTATGTGACCGTGGAATTAACCTGCTCTGATTTGATACGAGTGAGAAGATGAGCAAAAGCTAGCATTACCTAGTGGGGGGTTGGTACAGCACGAATCAATGTTGGCACATTAGTGTGCCGTATTTTATTAATCATTCATCATCATCATTATATTAATCTTCAGTCATCGACAAAAGGTTTTAGTTCGTTATATAGGATCTTGGAAAACACTGTGTTAGCTAGTTAGGAGGCATTAAGCTAAGTCGGTGCTAGTGAGGGATGGTAAGGTGCAAATTCACGGTATAGGTAACCAAATCTTCACTTGGTAGAAACTCTCATTTGGAATAACGTGATATTAATCAATGTTGCAAGACTTTAGTGTTAAATTGGTTAAGGGATTCTAGAAAAATTATGCACATTACCTTAAAAATAACAGAAAATGCTGCTCCATGTCTGTTACTGTTTTCTGTCATCCTACCTTGTGTTAGCAGTAAGCCGAATTCTTCTTTATACTTACTTATAAGAAACAAATTAGAATCTGCATTTAAAATCTGCAGTGAAAATGAACGTCTCGGTAGTTAGCATGGGCGGTCAAGGAGATCTTGGGCATGCCGTAATGATGCTCGCTACGTAAAATTAGAACCAGAAAGACTCAATTACAAATACACATTATGAAGCACCACTCAGAAACACTCAATCAGCATCGTAAGTGTATATATGATAAAATCCCTATAAACAATCAACTATGAGCTCAAACTCAAAAAAGTAAAACACTTGAATTTGCTGTACAAAGCTATCAAAAGCAAAAGTTGGCACATAAATTAGTTGGTGCAAATGCCTGCTGACCTTCATGTGACTGTTTAAACAGGAAAGTGATCACATTTTATGCTCTAATAACATCACAACACGCCCATTAGCTATTTAACGTTTTTTTCATGTATTTCTTGAACCAGCCAAACCTGATTGTCCTTGTCTTTGCATCTGTCTTCCTCCCAGATGGAGATGCAAAGTTTGCATAAACAGGTGCAAAAGTTCACCTCCCCTCTCTTCCATCTCTCTGCTTTTATTAGCTTCTTTCAAACTCGTCCTACACTCTTCTCTCTGTCCCTTCCTTCTTCCCTTCTTTCTCCTCTAGCTGGAACACATTATTTTACTCGTCCTCCTTCCTTTTCAGATTGATTCTCCTTCGATTTCGCTCCGTCTCTTCCCTCCCTCTCCCAGTGGGACTTGATTCAGTCAGGTGCAGAAGTTCATCTCTCCTCCCTCCACCTCTCTGTTTCCCAGTGGGACCTGGTTACCAGGTGGTGCAAATGTTCCCTCCTTTCTCCTCTCCTTTTGATCTGTATCTCTCTGTTTACTGAAATGAATTTCCCTATAACATGGTTGGCTGATTTAAAAAACAGTATTGTTTATCTAAATTCTCTCCTTTCTTTCTCTAGGAGTTATTTTTTCATTTTATGAGATTTCGTATAGTAACTTACCTTACAACATGAATAAACCACACTGTTAGAGAGGGCTTTTTTGTAGGATACTAAAAAATTGAAGACTAGTTGTTGCAAACACTGGAATGTTGGAAAGTCAATGGCTTTGTCAACTTGTTTTTGTTTTTTCGAAAAATTCTTTAATAACAGCACTAACCATGCAGCCATAAGCAAGTTAGCCCAGACTGTACTTGTGTTGGTGATTACACTGACTCAGCACTGGAAGATTCTGGTTACTGTTTAATGTTGAGTTTAAAAAAAAGAAGAGAAAGAGGGCAGACAAAATGAAAAAAAAGTAGTTAACTTTGTCTGCAGCATTGCAAAGACGAGAGAAACATCCCGATGTCCTTGAGACCAGGTTTCAGTTTGCCATCATGTAGATCATTTTTAAAGGTGTTCTGCCTGACCTCTTCAAGATCGTTGAGAACACATATCAGTAGAGTTATGTAAAGCTTAAAGCTTCACCTCAGACATCTGGAGCTACTATATGACGCTACACTGGAGCTATAATGTTACGGAAATACCTTACCAGTTTGTTAAAGTTTATGGCACGGTGTTAACAACATGAAATAGCCATGGACAACAAAAGAGTGCACACACTGAGCACCTCAACAAGGGTTCACTCTGACAGCAGAGGGTGAGTCATGCTGTTGTTACACAGACTGTAATATGGTTAGTTTGTATTTATTTAAAGTTGGGAAAAGCTGAAGGTGGATTACACACCAATGATTTGCAGTCTCATCCTCACAGTGAGGAATACAGGTTATGTACTTTAACACTGGTATTGGATCAGAATGGTATCACAGATACCGATAGCCAAGAACAGGATCAATACTGGACCTCAAAAAGCTGGATCTTTACTTTTAGACTTGCTTCAAGGCTCAACTTGTCACAGATACTTGTCACAGGGCATTTTAAACTTATTTCAACTTTTGTCTTCATGTAGCTGTAAAAATCCACAACCCCACTCTGTATCAGTTATTTAAGGATAACTTTACTGTGAATGTTTCATTAATCTTAAATGAAACAAAGACAGTGAAAGACTTTTTTCATATGACTGTTATAAATCATTCATACAATACCCACTATTTATTATGTATAACGGTAATAATTATGAAAATTGTTAATGCTGTGGATCATTTCATAAATCCATAAAATACTGAAATTCTAGTAGGATCAGAAACACACACACACACACACACACACACACACACACACACACACACACACACACACACGGACACAAACGAAACAATGACTCCCTCTTAAATTACTGTAATAAATAATATGGCTGCTGCAGTCCTCTCATTTCCTTGCTTCTCTCTCCCTCACGCTCCTCTGATCTATTTCCCCTCTGTCCTTTCACTTCCCTCCCCTGTGTTTTTAAGCCCCTCTCTCTTTCTATATCGCTCTTTTGTTGCTCATCCAAAGTGCAGTCTGACCTTTCTCAGTGCTGCTCCCCTAGGACTGTGTGAATGTGTGTGTTTGTGTGTTGCTTGTCTTTTTGTATACTATCAGGGCCTGAAACTACATTTTTGAATAGGGTGGGGAATTCCCCCCCGAAACATCAGTTAAGGACCACGGACTGACTTATGTGGGCTCAGGATGGCACATTGTAACATCCTGAGGCAGGGATAAGTTGTTGGATACCTGTTTATTTTTTATTTTTTATCTAGCTCTGGTGGTTGGCACCTCGGGGTGGTGCTATTTAATTTTCGTGCTCCCAATGTAAAACCACACTGCGAATCCAAAGTTTCCCTACTTAACTTAAAAAGCAGGGGGATCGTCGAGCTCCGCCTTTTCCTCTGGCTACAATCATAGACTGTAAATATCAACTCGTCTTCTTTGTTTACTGTAATATCGGTTAGCAAACAGTTACAAGCAATACTGCCCCCTGGATTGGGTTGTGAGTACTGTCCTGTTTGCCATATTTTGTATGACTGCATGCACCAAACTGTTACAGTTCTCAGTACGAATGCAGATACAGAATAAATAAAGGATAAATCCTTATAGTATCTGAAATTACCAGTGCAAGTAGACTGCAGATGTCAGCTTTTATTTGGTGTTTGCACATTATGGCAGGTACAAGGTTTAAATGCTTTCCAGACCCAAAGTAGGGCAGCACGCTTTGTGTTGTTAATGGGATAAGATTTTACATTGGAGAGTCACCTGTAGTGATTTATTTATTGTATTATAAGGAAGTACTCATCCATTGGAACAACTTAGACAGGAGCTAGAGAGTCCACAAGTACGACGCCTTTGCATTGCTTTGTGGCGAAGTTGAGACAGGTTTAGATGAATTAGTTTCATTTAAATGAATAAGGGGGAAATGTGTTTGCCCAAAAAAGTCACCCAGTTCTGGCTCTTCATTTAGTGTAACATTCATATGTATCATGTATTAAGCGGTCTCATGTGACAGTCGGCATACTCATTTACACTTTATAGGAGTAGATCTTAGGCATTCACTTTAAAACATGTTTAATGGTATATAAGCTTATACTTACATCACCAGGAAGGCCCCACACATACAGGTGTAGTGCCTTTTGCTAAAACTGAGTGAACTCCAACACACACTGCTGTATCATTTTATAAAAAGAGCATTTATTTCAAAGTTTTTTTTTTTTTTGCTTCTGAGATTGAAGCACATAGTAAAGCAACAGTACAATGTTCAGAAAATATAAGTGTGATGCTGTAATATTTTTTTAATCTTATCTTCTTAGCATGTTTTTGTTGTAATACTGGAATATTCTGCATGTATACTAAAATAAGAACTTTTAAAATTGTACAAATCGGTACCATAAAACTTGACAGAGAATAAAAACGAGGCGTTCTCTCACTGCAACAACACAGATTGCTATTTTTCCTCTTGAACAGGGAGAAGGAATGAAGAAACGCCAAATAAAACGCAAGAAACTAAAACAAAAGAAATGTGAGAGGTTGTATTTGCACAGGCAAAAAAATAAAAAAATAAGCGAATATTTAACTTTTGGTAGCGCATTTCTAATAGCTGTCCAAAAATGAAAAGAGCATTGAGTCTCTCCATGCTTAGACAACCATAAAATCAAATCTGAACTGCAAAGAGTTAAATATGAATTTGCCCCTGTGTAGCTGCAGCCAAAGAAAAAAAAATCAAAATGATAATAATAATAATAATAATAATAAAAAAAACAACAATAATAATAATCATAATAATATAATAATAACATTAAAAAAAGAGATTAAACAAGAATCGACACACTCAAAAAGGGTGTTCTGGTTGTATATGTTACTGAGAAAACACACTGATGTTATTTCCTGTGCACATTTAATGTTGAAATAGCAACATGTGTTGATACAACAGATGTTACTGCTAACATAGCTGGTGTAAGGGAAATAACACCAAGTGCATTTTCACAGTCTACATGTACCGCACTTGCAGAAACAGCACGTCCTATTTTTAAGGGTGCACAAGGTGCAAGTTGGATCCTCAGAGTGATATATCACATGTCTGCACATTACTCTGTACATACCTAGCATGGAGAATAGTTTGCGTTCTGAATATACGTCTCAAGTTACAAAAAGAAACAAAAAAGGAACAAAAACAAAAGAGAGAATGCACTGCGTTGCAAGAGTGTCCATTAAGTTTAAGGCGATTTTTAGAGCTCACAGGTTTTTTTTTACTCATGGTGATTGATCAACATTTGTGGACTCTGAAGAAGGAAGTGATCATTCATTGGTGGACTCGGTATGGGAAGTGATCATCAATGGGAGGAAAAGTGGGACACAGGAGGGGCGTCGAAGAAGGGGAATTTTTCCTTTTCTTCTCTGAAGTGAAGAATGAAAACAAATAATCATCCACAGTTGTTTTTTTTTTCAATTGGATCCATGTTAAGTCTGTCTCTTCTTGGGAGTTTAAAAAAAAGGAATTTGTGTAGCATTTTCACACACACACACTCAGTCCTTGTGTGTTCATTTGTTTGTGTGTAGCTACTGAAGCTAACGGTCTCTATCGTTACACTTGTTGTGTTTACCCCTGGAGTTGTTGTTTATTTATTATAAGGCCACCATACTGTGAAGATGCTGCAAGCGTCTTCAAAGTATCAACAACCCAGAGTCCGTCACGCTATCCAACCCACAGAACCTACTGAATTCTGCACACACAACAAATCTGAAAAAAAAAAAAAAAAACACTTGTGTTTGACCGTACTGAAACATCTTCATGATCTTTTATTTCTCTTCCTAACATCAGACAGTTGCTGGATCCAGTACTTACTTTTTCCTTTTAATTTCTATCTCTTTCTTCCTCTCTCCCTGTGGATCTTAAAAAGCACCACAAACTGAGCAACTTCAGAAAATACACTCCACTCAGGAACCTTCTAAGAGAATAAACACTCAGAGGGACCATTGAGGAAGCATGTGAATCCAGTCCACAAAGTATATAGAACCTCTAAGAAACTAAACGATTAGCTATAAGCAAGTCATTTTGATCATACAGCAACACCTATTTTTTCCACATCAAGTTGCCCTCAAACCGGTGACGTATCTAATCTCCCAGCCCTGCAATGGTCAAGTCTGTAGATAGAGGGGGAGAGAAGGGACAAATGAGAGAAAGGAGGGTTTTGGGAAAAGCTGGGATTCAGTTTAAGTCCAAGCGTTTATTAACAAATCATCTTGGAGGATGAAGGAGGCGCCACAGGAAGGGAGGGCTGTTAAAGTCTGTTGACAAAGTGGCATGAACTGATCAGGTGCTTGTTGGTAACAATTGGGTACTGAGGAGCGTCAACCCTCAGTTAACAAATCCTCATGGACTCAATAAATCCGAAGTCGGCGGGGCGTCCACTTTGTAAGACCACTGTTAAGAGTCTTCACCATCGTCCCCATCATTTATGGAGCAGTCTTTGGTCCCATACAAATCCGCCAGCCTCTTAAACCTCGGCCCCCAACTCTGCAGATAGTCATAATCCAAGTCAGACTCCGTTGTGACCGACTCGAGGGAACTCAACGACCCGGCCAACGATCCTCTGCCTTCGTATCCGTAGATCTGAATGGAGTCGTAAGGAGGGGCAGTAGGGTCACTGTCGGCCTCTGCAATACGACTCTTAATAAAGTCATCGACGTCGACGCTGTTGGCTGCAGTATGGCCACTGCCTGGCCTGAGGGGATATTGGAGCTCTGGTTTGATGTCCTTTCTTGGGAGAAAGCCGTTGGCACCGTCTGGGTTCTTAATAAGAAAAAGGACATCTTGCTTTAATATCGACAAGTCAAATAAGGATCTAAGGCTTTAGTTTGTCTAGATAACTAGTTTGATTGCATATCAGCATTTTGCGTACATAAAAAATATGTTTGACCTCCCCTTGTCTTTAACATTACTTCTATCATCTCCAAGAATAACAGCATTTTTTTAGCCACCGTGCCCTTCTACATACCTGCAGTGTAGCAATGTCAAAAGCCTCGGTGTCTTCCTCACCACCGCCCTCGTCATCATAGGTGATAATATTCTCCCTGATGTCCTCCTCCTCGAACACTATCAATGGCTCCTTCTTCTGTCGCCTCAGTGCAACAAACAACACCACTATTGCTGCCAAAAAAAAAAAGACAAAAAAAACCACAATTTAATAAAAAAATGTGATTACATGCCCACACAATGTTTGTGAAAAAGGAGAAATGTGAACATTAGATAATTAGTATGCACAGTGGGAGATTGTGTAATTAGACCTAAGACACCTTAATTAATATTTGTATTTGGCTGTTCACACACATGCTAGTTTAATTGCAGTGAAAATAAACATGTCAGTCTTCTCAATCTCTGTAAAATAGTGGCTTAATATTAGGAAAAGCAATATATACAGTATATGCAACACAATATGAGTAGTGAGCACTCCCACTGTAAGGACACAATGTGATTTAAATTAGGCCTACATTAAACGTTAAGAATCATTACAGCGGTGATGGATACTGAGTGGTCAGAGGAGGAAAACCAAGCTTGGGACGCAATTGAAGACTTTTAAAACATTTACATTAAAGTATAAAAAAAAAAACAATGAGACATTAACAGAGGGGTGGACTTGTTCTTCCCCACTTCTTAGCAAACACAAGGGATGTTGGATAATATCTAATACTCATTCTGGAGTCACTCATACTGTAAATACATTGGAAGATAATCTTTATCACACAACCAATTTAAAGTCACAGAAATGAAATCTTGTGCAAGTCTTTATCCTTTGTTGTATAGTCTCAAATCTAAACAAATCTCAGATTTTCATGAAGAGAAATATTCTTCGCTTCTCACCCAGAAGAATGACAATACAGGCCAGTATAGCTATCAGCGCCCCGGTGCTTAGGCCCGCAGGTAGGACGTAGGGCTCCACATTACAGGACAGGATGGTGTTTTTGCTGTCGCAGGAGCACACTCTGATGGTTAGGGTGTTTGTGCTGCTCATGGCAGGAAACCCGTTGTCGTTTATCTCGATGGGAAGGTAGTAAACATCCTGGTTCAGGCGGCTGAATCCTTTACGCAGCACATAGATGCTGGCTGTGCTGTCTGTGAAGAGAGTTAGAAAGATGTTGGGTTCTTTTTGACTGAGAGATCAGTGGGTTAAATGATATCTTCAAAATAAAGAATAGAAGAAACCAAACTATGCGTTTCAACTTTTTTAACCTTAGCTTGGACTTCATCACACATACAAAAGAACCAAATCGTGTCTTTTCCTAACCCGTTTTAACACCACTCAGAAACTGAGACACACATATTCATCATCCACACACGGTTCAGGAGGTTCACCCGAACATTTATTTCACACAAAAACAAAAGCCGATGAGGTGTGACTTTGTTGATATTAAAATCCTGTTAAGTAGTGTGTCCATTCTTCATTTCAGAAGGAAAAGTAATCAAAAACTGTTCTGACATGACCTAGCTGTAGCTGCCTGCTCCATCTGATTCTTTTCTAAACATGTATTTTTTCTAATGACACATTCAACTAACAAAGAAAGGGCTGTGGTATTTTGGTGGAATTTCAGAAGCTTCAAAAACAATTCTTCAGCATTAGACATTTTGAAGCATTTGCAAATACGTTACAGAACAATATTAGTTGTTTTTGCTCTGACAAATTTTGCAGTATGATACACACAGGTATTTTAGGCCACCTGAAGAGGCTGTACCTTAAAAAACAATGTAAAAATTTTAACTATTACATAGGCTTTGTCCTATATGTCAACCTTTACCCTGTAATATTTTAGTTGAATATATTTAGGCAGATAAAGGTTTATAAATATAAAAAATGTTCTATGTCCACATGATTTGGGCTCTTGAGTGCTCTCCACCTCTCCTGCTCCTTCTTCCTTTCTTTCTTTCTTTCTTACTTTCTTTCGGGGAATGAGTGTTCAGACTGAGCCTCCACTCCATACACATTCTAAGCCTGTCCCTCTGTGAGGTTTACTGTACAGTAAAATAGCGACAATAATCTTGTTCATTTACCGACTATATTTCAAAATGACATTACAAAGACATAAACATCAGTACATCCTCAAAGGCACTCTCTTTTAAAAATGCCGTTCTTTTCCACAACTTGGAGACCTTGGTTGAACTCTGACCGTTTTCTTGGCATCAAACTCAAGTGATCACAATAAAAATGTGTGTCTTGCAGCTTGTTGAAGTTTGTTTTTCAAGTTTTCACCTAAAAATGTAATCTCATCTGTCCTGATAGTTTACTGTAGAGGGCTGCAACAATGCAAAAGAGAACAAAGTAGTAGTAGTAGTAAACTTGTACTAGCAAAATAAAGCACAGGTAAAGGATAAGAAGTTAAAGTTAAAAAGAAAGAAAGAAAAGAAACTACAAACTCAATACTTCAAACTTTTTGGCCCCAAAAGAGAGTGAAGGTAACCCCCAACTGTCTCTATTACTGAAGTCACCGTCATCTGTTGCTATCTTCCTCCTGCCAACACTGATTCTCTCAGGCAGCTGTGTGTATGAGTCTGTGTGTGTCTTTGTGTGGATCTGAGGCATCTGAGTATATAGACAGATGGAATGAATGATTAACCATTTTTGTTCTTTATGAAAATTTGTGTCAGGTCTGCGGTCAACGTTTTTTCATTATTTGTCTGTCTGTCTGTCTGTCTGTCTGTCTGTCTGTCTGTCAGTCTGTCTGTCTGTTATTGTGCAGGAACGCAGGGTACTGATGGTAACACACGGCTGTGTATTAAAGATAAAGCTTTTATTTTATCAATGTGGTTCCAACAGATCCTCCAATTCCCATACCTCATCCCTGTTTGTGTTAAACTAAACTCAACACAATTCACATTTCCATCTAAATGTTTGTCTTGTCTTCAGACCTTCTCCTCTCTCCCTTTCTCCTGCTCTCTCTCTCTTTTTTTCCTCCTTCAGTGAGTCCCTCTCCCAGTACTCGCAAAGCTTAATTCAATCAGTCAGCCCCCTAAGATACATGTACAGACGGACAGAGACCCCAACGCAATTAATATAGCCCGCAGGACGGAGTGTGCTTTGTGCATGTGTGTGTATGTGTCTACGTGTGTGCGAAGGCGAGAGGGATTCAGAGCACCTGCTGCTTTCTACGAGGTAGTGCTAGCTTCCATCTGCTTAGGCTTTGATCTAATCTGAGTTAAAGGGGGGAGAGAGAAAGAGATCACAGATGAGCTACCTGAAAGGGTGGAAACAGTAGGAAAGAATGTAAGCGAGAGAGAGAGGAAGAAAGAAAGACATTAAGAAAAAAAGAAAGAAAGAAAGAGAGGGTTGGGAGACTGACATAAAATGGAAATTTTCAAAGGTCCTCTACTGTACCTCTGCTGTCTTTGAGGGAGAAGTTGTGGTTGTGGGCAACTTCTGGGGCGAGGTTGAAAGTAAAATGTTGCCTGTGAGCCATTTCATCTTTGTCCACTGCACTTACTGTTTCAATGACCTAAATCAAACAGACAGAGAAACACAGGTCAGAAAGATACGCATCAGTGTTAAAAACAGTTTGTGTGCATGCATTAATGTTTGTGTGCAAGACTTTCTCTGATACCAGTATTAGAAAAGCTGTGAAAACACTGAATAAGCCCCCCCACCCAAAAACATCTCCAACAGCTTTCAATTCAGTAAAAGTTATATGTTTTTGTAACTGCTTACACAGTGGTGGAGACAAACTGATTTCAGGTAAATGTAACTTGAGTAATGATGGAAATCAATGTCATTGCAAGCAGAGAGCATAACCAAGGCTAGTAAAGTGTCATCACATTTGAGCGGTTTATTTTTCACTATTTAAAGTCAATATAATGAAAACTGCTAAAAACACAATATAAAGCAGTATCATTTTAGAAATCAGTTCCCCCCACACTCTTAAGGGACATCAAAAGAGGCCGTGAGTCAAGATGCCTCAAACTGTGTGTCTGAGCTTGTTTGTTAATAGGCTGAGATTCCTTCAATAATGATAGCAATCATATCACATTATACATGGTCCACAGTTATTGGTGGGGTACCTGGTATCTGCAGCATCTCTCTTGTTAACAATCTCATAAACAAATGCTCATTCGTGCAGTTTCACACTCAGACCTACCTTCCCTGGAGCAACAGATTCACACATGAGGACCTCGTTGTTCGTAGCAAACTCTGGCGGGTTGTCATTCACATCTTTCACTCTGATGTTAACACGCACTTTGGTGTCTTGGTGGTGGCCTCCTGTAAACCCAAAAAAAAACATAGAAACACATTGTTTTAGGCAAAGTCATCGGCTTTCTGCTGCAAATAAAAATCCAATGCAGTGACAAAGTCATTGAAGACAAAATGTCATTTATGCTTCAATACGTGAAAGTGATTGCTGGTGTGTCTGCATTCTAATCCATGTTCAGCATTGTTTAAACAACAAGCTAACGATGAATATTTTCCAGCGAGATTGCCTGTCAATCAGTAAGGCACTCAGGCAGCTATTTGTTATTTTGATTTGCAAAAATTACAGACATGAGTTTGTTAGACATCAAAATATCCAGTCAGACAGTGTGCCGCTCTTTCAGTCTGCTCCCACGCTTTACCAAAAAAAAGTCACAAAAAGTGACAAATGTCAAATTATGACTGCTGGAGATGATAATGAAGAGGAATAATTTGACGCAGACAGAATGATGAATAAACAACTAAAATAGAGACATTCAACAAGCCCTGTTCAGTCTTGGGTCCCATGCTCTTCACTATTTGTGTTTAATGACATTGTTTCTTCTTTGAATGGTTGTCATGCCCATCTCTATGCAGACGACACTATTTTATATTACTACAGATTCTGTACAGTTAGCGCAAGCAACTTGCTTTTAATTATGTCCAAGAATATCTCATTAGCCAAAAACTGCTACTTAATGAGATTAAAAGAAAATGTATGATATTCTCCAGAGCCAAAAATATTGATAATGAGACTGTACGCTTATCTTCTTTAAATGGCTCAGACATCGAGAGAGTAAATGAGTATAAATATCTTGGCACGTGGCTCGATGAAGAACTCACTCTTAAGTCCCATGTATAAACTCTTGTCTCCAATAGAATAGAAAAATAATTATTGAAGCTGTGTTCTTGTCAGTTCTGGATTACGGCGATGTCGTTTATAGACATGCCGCAGCTTCAACTCTGAAACCTCTGGACGGCGTCTATCACTCCGCCCTCAGGTTTATAACTGGTGATCGATTTGACACTCATCACTGTGACCTGTATGAGAAGGTCGGTTGGCCTTTTCTTGAAGAGAGGCGCAACAAGCACTGTTTTTTATTTATCTTTAAGGCTCTTATCGGTAAACTTCCACCTTACATAACAGACCTGTTGGAGTGGAATTTGGGCGCCTACATGAACCGTTCTTCTGATTGGCTCGTTCTTAAGGTCTCTCGAGCTTTTACTGAACTTGATAAATCAGCATTTTCTTTTGACGCCCCAAATTCGTGGAACGCCTTCCAGCAAACTCTAAGGACGTAGTTCTTCTCTCCCTTCCAGAGTTTAGGAATTTGATTTCGAGCGACTTTGTTTCAAATTGAAACTGTTTTAATTGATCTCAGTGGTTTTTGTCACTGATACAAAGTGTTTTTTGTGTTTTTGCTTCTTTTACTGTGCTTGTAATCTCCACAGCATTGGAAATGAGGGACACCTCAGTGTCCTTTCGAGAATAAAATAAAGGTTTGATATGAAAAGAAAATGAAAAATCTGAATATTAACAAAGAAAGACTGAATTATTTTTGGCTCATCCCGTTTATCTTTAAAAAGTAAGAAAACAACCCTCCATTTGTAAATAGTACTGCCTTGCATATTTGTAATTCTAGTCATATGAATGTTCCTCTACCCTGTCATTACCAGGCATTTATTTAGCTTCCCAGGGCCTGTTAGTGGTTAGCATAGCCTGCAATGGTCGCAGCTTTGTGGGCGGGGAGCCCGTTTCCATCTGGCCATCTGGCGTCGAGCACGCCACAGAGAAACCACGCAGTGCTCTGCTAGTTTTGAGACCCAACCACAGAATACCAGGGTGGGGCCTCTGTGGCTCGCTGTTTGGAGGGTTTTTGGGGCCCGAACCAGGGTAGAGAAAGATCCGGAGGGCCTGTGGGTTAACTGGCATTTCCCTGTTTCCTCCCCCACTCTTTCTGTATACTTATAAGGAGTGTTTGTGGCGGAGATGGATAGTTAAACTTTAGTAGTGCCACAACTGTTTTTACTTCCTTATAAGTGAATCAGGTTTTAAGTAAAAAAAAAGTTAAAAGCTTGTGTGTCAAATGCTTTGTTTTCTTGTTCTCAGATGGTCTTGTCCTTCATTTTTTAAGCTCTTTCGTCCTTGAATGTAAAATCAAAGAAAACTACTATTATAAATGTGTTCTCTTTCTTTCTGTGATTAGCCAGAGCTTTCTGGCAAGATGCAAGCAGAAACCTCCCGTGTTGAAAATTGAAGCCAATGTGCCAATGCCAAAGGCTAAAATCTCCAGTTCCTCAAGTGTCCACTTCAGGGTGTCTGCAAAGCCCAGGGATTTCCAGTAACACCCATGTTAAAATGCCACTTTTGACAGTAGAAATAAACATGTTTACAGCCTGGTCCAGAAAACATTTGTTCTTAATAGCTCATGTCTTTCCTTATTGGTACACACTGTCCAGCTCTTTGCCTGTCTCTTGACTGAAAGTTAGTTTTCCAACATGGCAACCACCATCGTTGGGCTTCAAAACCTCGTTTCATACTTTACTAAGACTATGTTCATGTTTTATAAACTCTGTGGCCAAATGTTGATGAAGGGGACAATTTCTGTCTGTTCAAACCGAACACACGCACACACAAATCCACCTTGCATCTGCATAAAGCTAGTCCCTCCTGACACTGTAGCTGAATGTATAATAAGTTTGCCAAGGTTTGGGCTGCTCTTCACTGACATTCGGAGCAAAAAATTCTTACTTCAGTCCCGCCCAGAGGGGGAAAAAAAACATTAAAGGCAGCAGCTTGAATTCACTTTTGAACAGAAGATGTCATGGAGTGTATCCAGCACTGCAGAAGGACATGTTGGGCTCTGGATGCCAGCCGGTTGACTATCTGGGATTCATCTACCTGTTTGTTCATATTAAACATTGTCTTTCTTATTTCAGAAGCACCAATCAAAAAGACAAGATCACATTGAGGCTGAATAGATCTGTACATAAGTGTTCTTCTGGCTCAAAATATCAGGAACATTCGTTTTGGTCACTTCACAATCAAATATTATAGGTATGGAGACAAAACAGTGTTGGTGTGTAAGTCTGCATATGAGTTTTTCGAGCATACATACCTATCTCTGTGGCTGACACAGATATATTATGCCAGTCGAGTGCTTCTCTGTCCAGTGGTCTTGTCGTGATGATCATGCCATCCTCTGAGTTTATGCTGAAGAACTGCTCTATATCTGTGTACCGAGGGATCATGTACCTAAGAGAAGAATAAACCCACATATCAACCCACATTTCGAAGAAGGATTAGGATATGTCTACAGTGTTATTTTGTTGGACATTTCACATAAATATACATTACTAGTTGAAATGGACAGTCTTTCAAATTTTGGGGGCTTTTTTTGTGTTAGTTCTCACCTTTGATTTCTAAGTGATTACATCTCTTGAACTGTCTTGTATTGAAACATTTTAGAGGCCTTCATTTTCTGAATGAAAATCCCATGACGACAAGAAAACAAGAAGATGTCCGTCTATCTCTCTGATCACCTGCAGAGCATGTGTGAGGCACTGCAGGTGATCAGAAACTCAGCAGAGATCATGAGGAGTGTGCTCACGAGTTCACTGATACCAGATGGCGATCTTATACGGATAATACAAAATGGTCGAAGCACATACTAGGGCAGTGGCAAATGTACTTTGACGGCCCGCCTAGGTATCGTTTATGTGTGGAAAACTCTTCCTTAAGATGAAATATTATGGAGATCATTTGGCTAATTAGAGGAACATAATTTGGCCCCCTTAGCGAGTTTCAAAGTTAAAGCTGTTTTATATAGATAACATATATAACTGTGTATTTTAAGTCTAAGAATGCAGGGCATGTATTGAAATTGTCTACCCACATTATAATTATGATATGATGATTTTTTTTTCTCCAGTTTGACTGGCTCCACTTTTTTAATCCCATTTTGCATCCCCATTCTCCTGAAAACTTCTAACAGTATGTGATTTTGGATTTCTTCATAATAAAAAAGTGTACATCAAAGCTTCTCTGAGTCATATTGTTTGTTCAGTGTAGCTGATGGAGCACTATTTAAAAGTTTTTTTCTTTGGCCATGTTCCATCAGAATTTAAACTAGTGTGAAAATTACAAATCTCCCACTGCAACAAGCCTGACTCTCTAAATTGTGTTTGTATCCAGTGTGTGTGTGTGTGTCTCTGTGCCTGCTTTACCTCACAGGATTGTTGGCAACATCAGTGTCCTTGGCGTGGACTCGTCCCACCAGGGTGCCTTCAGGCGCATTCTCCTCTACCTCAAAAGTGTAACTGGGAGCTACAAACACAGGAGGCTCATCTGCATCTTCCACTGATATCTGTAGACAAACACCGAATTTTAAGTAGGCTGCTGTGAGATTTATCTAGTCACACAAACACATATCGTCCCCTTGCCTCATGTCATCACAGGGACTTTTTTGTCACATTTGAATGAAACAAACACAATATCCAGGCACACACATAGTTTTGAACAAAATGTTTTACATGCCTTTATTGTGGCTTCATCTTTATAAGGTCCCCAAGCAAGGTATTGAGGGTCAATATGAGGGTTGGATCCCTCCACCTTCAAAGTGTACGACCTTTTCGTCTCAAAGTCCACAGGCTGAGAAAAGAAAAAGAAGGAGAGTTTACAATTAATCAGTTAATGTCAGATCAAAATCATTCCTCCATATTGTTTCTTACTAATGCACAGTGTCTCAATATCTGAGTGCTAAAAACAACAAGCTTTCTTTTGATTGCAGACAGACAGTGGCTTTGAGAAAGGCAGTTAGTTCCCAGTGTGGAATCCTTGCCTTCTGCTAGGGGGAGCTGTTGCCACATGAATGGAAATGGGCATAAAATGACTTGCAATGACAGCAGCAGTCCAAGTTACCACCACTGGTACACAGAAACAACACAAGGAGTAACCCAAATGCTGACGTTATCATAGGATAGTTTGTACTGCACTATTATACATGGTGTGAGGATTATTGTAGGACCATAATTTGATTGTTTCTGTTTCCTTCATAAGATAAAAAATTAAAGGCATCTGTTATTAACAAGCCAATAGGATTGGGAGTTTGTGACACCACATATATAGAAGGGAATATATAGTTTGAGGTCACAAGAAGAGGAAATCAACTCCCATCCCACATGATCTACAGTCTGATGACTGATACACTGGCTTGGGTTTTTCTCCCAATATTGAGTAAGTGAATTGAAGTTCATATATACATATCAGATATCTGATATATGTGTTATTAACTGCACCTTGATAATTGTTGCACAGCAATTAAGAATACAATATCCTTTAAAATTCCTGACATGGATTTTCGATATCACCCGTAACCCAGCCTGTGATTAAATTCACTCATATTGACCTGAACTTCAATTCACTTACTCAATATTGGGAGAAAAACCCATTGACTCTTAATGGCCTTGATATTGAATTGACTTGTTTTTGTGTTTGAGGTAGGCCGTTCAATGGCAGCTTCACACGTTTTCCTCACATAAAACTTTCATTAAGCCGTTAAATAAAAAAATAAAAAAAAGTTGCACGGCAGCTACAAAGCGACTAATGGTCTGCAATACTACTCTATTCCCTTTTCTGCTGACTTTTGATGTATGCATGTGATGGAGAAACTTTAAAGTCAACAAATTTGTTGGCACACTTTGTATAAAAGCTGTAATACCTCAGGGATGCTCTCTGGCATGATTAGGAGGAGGGGGCATCGGCAACAGCAGATGGCTAAGACTTGCACTCACCAGCAGCTCTGACGTAGCCATAATCACTGCTCTTTTGGGTATCATTGCTGTATTACACACACACACACACCGCCGCCACCACTATTTCTCCAGCTGGTAGAGGGATGTTAGAATGGCAAAGTCCCAAGAGTGAGCTTGATCTTTTCATCTCTATGCTACCCATCTCTTAATGAAATCTCAGAGGGAGGAGGCTTCACACAGGCTCGTAAGCCCTCTGTGAAGGGTTGTAAAAGCAGAGGGAAGCTGTTATAAATTTACGAGTTTGACACACAAGGTTTATTAGAGGTTAACAGTGATTGAGATTAGGGATGCAACGATTCGCAATATAATATTGAACCATTTAGTACTGCATCCATGGTTCAATACACGCTTGCAAATTCTGGTATTCAAGGTTTTGCGTATAAGTAGCTTCCATGCATTTTATTTTCTCTGAATTGGCTCTGTTTATGTGTGCCAGTGAGGATAAGGAAACCCCTTTCCCAATTTGACATCCAATCACTATGCGCTACAGTTGGGGAAAGCTGACAAAACTAGTGACAGATTTCATACATTGCTTTTACATGGCGAGCAGTGAGGAGATGCTGCAGAATGTGGAAGCACCGCTGTCTTTCAAATCAGTGTTGTGGGGAGATTTAAGTTTCAGCTTGGAGTATATTGACAAGGAAGAGAAAACAGCATACAAAAAACTACAAATATTGTTTTTCACATGTGGGCTACTCAAATATAAACACAAGTTTACAGCAACAGACAACAGCAGACTGTTAACGTTACTAATGTGAATCTGCTGATTGTTACACACACAGCCACCGGCTGATACCTGCATGATGCAGACGGTGTGAGTGTGAACGGAGTAAAGACGAAGCAGCGTTTGAAACAAAGTTTCATAGAGACTAAACGCCATTTACACCGGGAATGTGTATCATGGAAAAGTTGTTTTGCTTACAGGAAAAATAAAGACATAGTTTTGGAATTCAAACTATTTTTGGGGAACTTTCTTTTCTAAATCTCTTGTTGTTCCTGTAAATCGGAGCCACCTACATGTGATACTCGATGGCCACAGAGTTACTTTTTGTGATGTGGAACCCTGTGACTTACTCCCATGCTTTGCCCCTGTTGTATTTACCACAGCCAAAGCTTTGCCCTTTCAATGTTAATATGGGTCCCTCGATCTTATAAGTGCATGACATCTGTTTAAAGGGCTTATAATACAACAGACAGCAACATAGAAGGGAGAGTATTATATAATTGCTTCCTTTTGTTGTCAGCAATCAAACATGGCGTCCAGCCCCCATCATCTCCTGGCAACACCTCTGAGAGCAGCTTGCAGTCGCTCTTTAATCCACCAGATTCAGAACTGTTTTCATGTGACGCCAAATGACTCAGTGCTGGAGGGACGTATCCCTCTCAATGGATTGTTCTACACTCATTCAGCCGCAGCGGCATCTGAGTCTGCGGTGTCGGTGTTTAACGTCGTGATGACAGGTACAGTGCTAATAGGATAGATGTGACCCAGTTATTTCATTTTCCCTTTTCTCGTCACGCTGCCTCTGCCGCTGTCTCCTTTGCCCCCTCTCTCTCTCTCATCCAGTCTATAGATCCACTCTCTTCATTCTCTTGCCTCTTTGTGTAATCAGGGTGAGATAATAATATTCACAATAATGCCTCCCTCTCTACTCCCTCTCTCTCTCTCTCTAACATACTCGCACACTCACACACACAGCTCCTTAATATTCTGTGGACCGCTTTCGTCAGGACACAGTTGAAAGAGAATAGCTGATTAAAGCTCATCCCCGTCAGTGTGTGTGTATGTGTGTGTGAGAAGGAGAGTGAGAGAATAGAGATTAGTGAAGGGTACTCCCGGTGCCGATTTGAAAGTGTGTTGAGGTGTGTGCTTGCACGTGTTTGTGGCGTGTGCATGTTAGGCCTCGCATTTTGCATGGCATGCCTTCAGGGGGCAAAAGGTGTTGATTTCCCCAGAGACGCATCAAGACACAATAATTACACACACACACACACACACTTTCAAGTAAACATTCATACACACAAATATGAGTCAAGTTGCCAGCGTGGTTGCGCACACACACATACACGAACACACACACAGGCACACTTCAAATTAGCATTGGGCTATTGAGGTATTACTCTAAGAGACACAGGGATCCATTAGAGGGGGGTGTTGTGTGATACATCTGGGCATCATGTCAGCGGCCTTGCACAAAGACACATGCGCACGCACGCACACCACACACACACACACACACACACACACACACACACCAGATTCATACACAGGCTTTGACGCACGCACGCATCTAATTATTTGATATGCACGCACGGGCACCTGTAAGAAGGGCACACAGCTGGACTTACAGACGGACATACACAGGTGTTGTTTTTTTTTGTTGTTTCACTAGCAGTCTTTACTGTACATAGTTGAAATCATGCCATCAGATGTAATAGTGCAGAGGTACTGTATGGCATATGGGAGACATGGGTTCAAGTTACCTATGATACTGTTTCTCTAGCTTTCAGATCCATCTTTATGCTTGTAATTCTCCATCATGCATCTGAGGGACGCTTCTTTATTGCTGAAACATGAATTATTCAAGCAAAATTAAAAGATTGGCCCCTTTTGTTTATTTGATTCAGGCCCTTGTGTTTTAACAAAAACAGTTTTTTTTAGTTTTTTTTTGCTGGGTCACAAGCACACACATTAACATTGTGCCCCTCTTGAGTGTAGTCAGTGGCTCTCATTATTTTTGCTATACTGTTACTGCGTATATTTAGTCAGTTGCTTCTAACGAGGGACCCTCTTTTGAAAAGTACACGTCTTAACTGCTCCCATGTGCTATTATTTTTACATCTAATTTGGCAGAGTGTTCAGTGTGTTGTGTATTCCTTAATTTCAGTCAAATCTTTAAAATCCCACCCGAGAAGGAAGAACCACATACTGTTTGTTTTTTAAATTTAGCTAAAGCTCGATCTGTGGGTTAACTGCCTCTCCCGGGGTTAGGGGATGGAAGAAGGTGCATGATCATTCGCTCATTTTCCCGCTCGGCCCTGGTGACATCAGAGGGAAGAGAGATCCTGTAACCCCTTACAGTCTTAAAACCACACTCTAACATGGAGCTCTGAAGGAAATCACTCATGCAGGCAGTTGTGAGAAAAAGCATGAAACAGACTTGTATCGATTGATTCGAGGAGAGATTTTCCCACAGCATCAGGGAAAAAAAAAAAAAAAAAAAAAACGGGCTCTGGGTAAAAGCCGGCTGCTGTTTTGAGCAACATCATCGCAGTCTGGAGAGGAAATGCAGCTTCCCGCGAACATCATCATAATTACACATATTAGCGCCAAGCCTTTCAGCAAAAAGGATTTTGGTAAATGAGCGCCTTTGTGCGATTCTGTGGGAATGTCTGAAAAAGCTTCACATTTTTCCTTTTGATAAATACGCCTTTTTGGAGACCGTTTTTGGTTAACACTACTTTTTCATACCCCCACACCCCATCGACTCACACACATACTGATAACTTGCCTGTTTTTAACTGAGAGATCAAGAGGTCGGACACCCTGAGAGGGAAAGAAAGGCTACCACAGCTCACTGAAAGATTCAGTTCATAATCCTGACCTGCAGCCCACAATACACTGCAATGTGTGTGTGTGTGCATGTGTGTGTGTGTGTGTGTGTGTGTGTGTAGAGAGAGAAAGAAAAAAGAAGAAATGAGTGAGTTTTTGTGTTTTTGACAGAGGTACTAGACTGTATGTGTGTGTGTGTGCGTGCGTGCGTGCGTGCGTGTGTGTGTGTGTGTGTGTGTGTGTGTGTGTGCGTGCGTGCGTGCGTGCGTGCATGCGCGTGTGTGTGTGTGCATTAGTGGACAGAGAGAGGAGCGAGGGATGAAGAAAGGAGTGGGAAAAAGTAATTGTGTGTGCCTAGCTGGATCTGTGACAGCTATGGTTAAAGTGTATGTGGCTGCGTGTGTGCGTGTGCATGTGTGTGTGTACTTGTGGGTTTACAGTCACAGTGCAGAAGATGAGCTCTTGGGCTCAGGGAAGCATGAAAGTTAATGCACTCTCACTCACACACACACACGAGGCACCCATAGAAGTCAGTGTTCATATGAGACACAATAAGAAACAGTGAAGGGAACACAGCAGAACCTCCCCTTTGCTCCCACCTCCTTCGCTCCATACTTCTCTTCCTTTTTTTTTTTTCAATCCTCCCTTTTGTCCTTATTTTCTTTTCCAGCACAAAAAAAAAAAAAATGACACAAAGTGAGTGAAATGTGGGCTGGCTGAGACTCACACTAAACCGCTGCTGTCTGAAGCAAAAGTGCAGTCTGCACTACATTTCTTTGCTGTTAAATTAAATAAAAAAGTTGATGACACATTTCTTTCCACAAGATCGGTCTGTTCAGGCAGCAGCTGTCAACTAGTAAAACTAGTTTTCTGAACCACAAACAGTTACAACACATGAAGTTTCCCTCTTATCCTATCATTATTATTATTATTATTATCCTATAAGGGGATCAAATGTTCCATAATGCTAAAATGCTATGAATGGCTACAATTTCATGACCATGTGAACAGCAACAACCAGCATCTGTATTGTTTAATCCTCCTCTTAAATTATAGATCTTGCATGCTTTCAGCTCTGAACTACAACTTGGAAGCCATTTGTTTGTCTCACTGTTAAAAGCGTCTCGGGCGGTCAGATCACAGCTGGACAGCGCTAAATACTGGCGCAAACTACTACGTTTTGTCTTGGATACATTCAACCGCATATCTGTTTTACAGTGTTAACTCAAGTGCATCAATGATACATGGCTTGGTAAAAGGGTAATATTAGGATACAAAGCCACCTAATGATTGATGTAGTGTAAAACAATCATGTAAAAATACTTCACAATATCTAATTAAGTGATCCTGCCCTTGATTTGTATTTATTCACTTATCCTTATCCTCTTATCCTGATTCATTCTTTAACTTCTCCTCACTTTCTTCAGTGGCAAATTGATCTCTGTCATGTCCCCCCTCATTCATGTCATAAACACCACTGTGTTGGGCCATGAAGTAATGACATGCTGGGTCAAATGGGGAGAGAAATTGGTTCATAGCTACATGTTTTCAATTCTTCTTTTCAATACTGATATTTGGCAGCAGAGATTTGAACAGGATGACGATATACTGCTAGATCAATATTGTGTCCTCCCTCTCCTGTATCTACCTGCTCATCAGTAAACAACAGACACAGTGAGCAACTAGTTGGTGAACACAAATGAGAATTTAGAAACTGGAGAGCCAAATGGAATGCCTTGTAATTCATAGAAAGTGCCGATCTGTCGTATTCACACTGTTTGTGGAAAACAATAAAACACTTATTGCAAGTTTTGCCTTTGGTTGCCTACCTTCTTCACTTTAATGACAGCCTCTCTGGTCTCGGAGTCGGTGCTCAGCTCAAACATGTTTATCCCGTCTCCATCCACTAAGCGGTAGTTCACCAGTCCGTTGTCCCCCAGGTCCGGGTCTTTGGCCTTCAGGCGGCCCACCTCCTCTCCTGGCACTTTATGCTCTGATACAGACATGGGGTACACACCTAGGAGAGAAAAATAAAATAAAAGCAGGACATTTACTTCACTGGTTGGAGATTTTAGTGTCATCTTCTGGTCACTACCTGCTTTTGTATTCAACGCTCCTGGAGTCTTTGGAGTCTTCTTGGCTCTCTGCCACCGTGTTTACTATCTGAGGCAGGGTCACTTTTTGAGGGCAGGGGGGGGGGGGGGGTAACATGAACTATACCATCTGTTTCATATGGCCCAAAGGATATTAATATCCTCTATAGTGTCAGGTGTGTGTGTGTGTGTGTGTGTGTGTCTAAAGAAGCAGACACCTGGCTTGCAGGACGAGAGCAGTAGGACCATATGTCTGCTCTCTCTACTCTTTAATTCTTTTACCTCCCTCAAGTACTCTTTCCACCTCTCTCCTCCCAGAATGATTTCTCTCCACTGCATCGCCTCTCTATTCTGTCGCTGCTCATTTCATTACAAAGTCTTACTCTCTCCTCTCACCTCACATCTTTTCCTTGATTTTCCCTCCCCCATCTTTTCCTCTTATTATTCTTTCCCTCAATCTCTCCTCACTTTCTCACCTTTTCCTACTCTACAGTTCAGCCCCGAGTGGACTCATCATTTAAAGACCGGTTTATTATTAACATGCTTATCCTGCTCGTCCAGGTGAAGCAATCCTTTGAATCATGAAATACAATTCGGTCATAATATAACTTTTGAAAATACGAGTTGACCTGGAATTAATCTGTCCAGATATCCACCTTTTCCCACAACATCCCCTCCATTTTTCCTTCTGCTTTTTAAATGTCTCGGCTACTGAAATACTTCCCTCCCTTTCCATCTCTCATCATTTGCTTCCAAATCTCTGTCTCATTCATCCTCACCTCTCCTCCCCTCTCCGCCCCGTGTTCTCTCAATCCTCTCCCTCCTCCGTCATCTCCCCCTCTTTCTCCCTCCGTCTTTCTCTCCCGTCGTCCTATTCTGGCAATAAAAAAAGCTAATTTTGTCCCTGCCCTCCCTTTGCCCTTTTCCTCCCTCTCCTCTCCTGTCGTCCTATTCTTGCCTTCCCCCCTAAGTAGCTTAACTTCAATGGCTTCTGGCAGCTGATTTAAACATTGTATGACAGAACACACAGGCAGCCTGGCATACCTGGCTGTGAGCTAAAATGAGGCACAGCACGTACAGGAAATGTACGTTAACGTTCAAGGACCACAGTTGGGGTAAATGTGAGGTATTTCTTTCAATCAGCCTTACTTTTGTTGACTTTTGTAAAGTCTTTACCAGTTCCATTACGAGCGGCTTTTACAAAGTGAGTTTAAGGATATGAAAAAGTTATTCACTGCATTCATATTCCCACATGAGTACCAACATAGTTTGGATCACCCAGAGGTCCAGTTTTGGAAACAAGCTCAAAACAGCAGCATGTTTTCATGTAGACGCCAATAAAGAGTCTCATTTATACAACCCATGAAACGACAGAAATCTCTTACATCACTCAGAGCAATTACATACAGAGCACAATTTATTACCACATAATTTACGGCTACTCACACTGATGACTTTGATGTGGTATCATGTTGACAACATCGTAAACATTTATTTTTTTTTTTAATTGAATGAGCTTTATACATATAAAACTGAGCAGGGAGAGCGCTCAACAAAGATTGATGCTTCATTTTCATCTTAATTAAATAGTTTGGGAGACACGTGGCTCTGTTTCTAAGGGGACATTTTGATTCCAAAACAAACTCTGTTGTAAAAGCCGATCAGACTTATTTATAAAATGACTCAACAAGTATACTGAGTGTTAGAGTCATTTATCCATGATTTGTACGTCTCCATGGTGTGTGTTAATTCGACTACGGTGGCATCTACATCACTTAACTAATCGTAAATGGAAATTCTGTCGCTGTGTTGATTGCTGACAATATTCATGAAGAACATTTTTCCTTAAAAATTGTTTGTATTAGGGCGCAGGTCGCCTAGTGGTTGGTGAGCTGCCCCATGTGCGGAGGCTGCGGTGCTCTAGGCGGGCTGCCCGAGTTTGAATCCAACGGGTGGCTCATTTCCTGCGCGTCATTCTATTGTATTCATTGTATTCATATGCATGTTGTTTTTGTTGTCTTTTACTGCTGCAACACTTGAATTTCCCCACTGGGGATCAATAAAGAAATCTTATCTTATTTCCCACTCTCTCTCTCCATAATTTCTAACTCTATCCACTGTCCAGTCTCTTAATAAAGGCACAAAAAGCCCCAAAATAAACCATTCAAAAAAAATTAAGTTTGCATTAATACATCAATAACGGTGATTAGCCTGCACGGAGGCAGATGTAACGTTGTGTGTGAGTTGGTTGAGTACATGTTGGCTTGCTTTCAATACACTTCCCACACCTTACTCATATTTTTACCTAAACGTGGAGGAGAGACTTCACATGAAAGAGTGAAGATGGATTTAACATCCCTGCAGTGATGCTGATGTACCTTTGGAATGGTAATACTTCTTCTCAAGTCATGTCAGGGATTTCTTTTTGATTTAGATATATTATTTTCTTCTCTCGGTGATGAGAATAGACATCTTTGAAATGTATGCTATGAGACACTGGAGGCAAATGATATGTGCAAATAGAATCCTGCATGAGTGCTAAAGATCACCTTTCACAGCTTCAGATGCCTTTTATTACCTGCTTTGATCTGAACTGCTTCAGTACTTTGGCTGCTGACATGCTATATTAACAGTATTTAACTAAACTATCCCTTTCATGTCAATCAAGTGAATGCTGAAATCACAGCAAGTTAGAGAAAAGTCTTTGGTTATTAGCCTTTCTTTTATTGCTCCTCCTGCGTGTGTCTATACTGTGGTGAAATTTGGGGGGTGGAGGGGCTAACGAAATATGATTGATAATGAGGAGAAAAAAGGAGGGGGGGGGGGGATTACAGGGATAATGGTACTGAGAAACACATGAAGACAGAGCGATCAAGTCTTGGAGTGAAAGAGAAAAAACACAACAGCGAGAATAAAAATTGAAAAGCTGCTGGAAGATATGACAGGGGTTCACGCTGTGTGATATCTTTTTCTGTCTGGTTTTATCTCGTTCATTGTGTTCTCTCTCCCTGTATCTGTTGTAGTTTAGTCGCTTCTTCCTCCTGATTTTCTGTCTTGACTTGCTTATCTCATATCCCATTTTCTCTCTCTTTCCCTTTACTTCTCTGCTCTCTCTCTCTCTCTCTCTCTCACTCTGCCCAACTACTAAATAAGTAATCACTGTCCTCATTCACACCATCTGGGAGACTTTTCTTGCAGGTGTTTGTACTGCTTCCACTTTCTTTCTTTTTTTTGATAACAAGGGTACTCACCACCACAACATATTGCTTTTCCGTGTGCCGTCTTGTATCACAGATGCAAACTGCCAGTGATTTCACAGCTGATATTTCAGAGTGTTTCATGGCGGTACTTTGCAAACACTTATGGTAGATAATGTTTGGTCATAAAGCCTGTGTTTTGTCCTTGTTATCTCAGGTTTTAAAACCTTTTATGTCATACACTTTGGATATGGGGACAGGGAGCAGAAGGGTGGCCATCCTACACCCACCCACCCACCCATCAACAAATGATTTTTCTCACATCCTGTTAGGTTGTCCCAATGGGTGTGTGTGTGTGGGGAAGGTAATGTTGGTCTTAAGTGGATGACATTCAAATAATGCACTGAATACAGCAATTTAGTTTTGAATATACAAGCTATGATCACGTACTCTTTTATTTTTTCAATTATGACATTCAAGTCAAAGATTTGAGGCTGTTTAATACATTATGGATTATAATTGTGTGTCTGTGTTTGTCTGTGTGTGTGACATGAACAGAACTGATGAATACATCATGCTTTCTCCTTCCTCAAGGACTACCCATCAGCACCAACCCATTCAGTAGCGTCTCCTTGACACATGTTTGATCATTTCCCTGAAGTTGTTCATCTTCAATGTCTCATCTGTTCAGCAAATCACAACAGCACACTTGTTGAAATGTGTCCGTGTTGAGATGAAGAAACAACAAAACCATAAGGCGGTCGGGTTCAAAAGTTAATATGTAGATACCTTTGCTTACAATTATTTTGTATTCCATATACATGGAGAGAATAACAGTACACAATATAATCCTGATATTCCCCCTTCTCATCTTCCTGCTGCTTTCTTTCCCACGTTCCCTCAAGCCCCTGATATCCTTGCACCCCCTTATACTTGCCCCATCGACTCACTTTGTTACCAGAGAAATGTGCGATCCATGTCTTAAGTAGGTCTGTTGTTACAGATGCAGCTCTCATCCATAATTTCAACATAGTGGTCTTGCCTTTGTTTACCCAGGCTGGGGATTGGTATTTCTTTTGTCAGCAGACACAAGGGGCAAACAAAGGTTGAATCGTCTCTCTCCCCTGGATTACCACAACGCATAAAGTATACAAATAAGTAAAGAATAATGGCAATGAGGGGGGGCAAAGAAAATAATTCCCTCAATATTTCCCACCCCAACCAGAAATTTCCTCCAGAAATCTGCAACCCCTGGGCACTCCCAAACCATATGAAGAAAAGTGCCCATAATGTTATTGGTATTGGGATTGGTATTTCTATGGGTTTTTTTTGCCACCCCTCCTTACCAACATGCAGAAGTGAAAGATGATTAAAAACACTTTTCAGTAAGATGCAGCAAACCAACAACCCTTATACTTTCACATGATGGAGAAGGAACATACTCAAGGCAATCCTCCCTGAGAGTGTCAATAAACCGAACATTATTGTATGTATAAAGTAATCATTTATGGTTAAGCTGTTGTTCTGGATTGAATCAATTCTACATGTGGTCATGATTCAACGACAACCGTGTATGTTCCACTGTTATGGAGACGCACATGGAGCTCTGAAACAATGTGGATATTTCAGTATTTAACTTCCAAATATAAATCTCATACATTCCAGAAACACTTCCTTTTTTTCCATCCGAGCATGGTTGCTCATAAAACTATGTTCCTCAAAAAAACTCTCCTTTAAAATTCTGTCAAGCAGTTGTCAGTGTGTCATGGCCTACAGAATCGGACTTAAGCTTTGCATCGCGAGACACTGAAGCACTGTCAGCTTGTTGGAAAACACAGGAACTTAAGTGATGGTTTTGACAGCCGCTTTTTTTTCTCTCCCTGCGTCTCTCTGTCTTTTACATTACCTCCCCTCGCTGCTACTGCTCGTGTCTCTCTCTTTTCTCGCCTATTCAGCTTCTCCACAGGCTAAATCCTGAGCCCACTTCTCTGCCCTTCTCCATCCTTTCCTGCAGCTACTAGGCTGAATCTCTGCCAGGAGTCACTTTGCTCAGAGCTGCAGGAAGGGAGGGGAGGGAGAACATGGAACAAGGGGGGTAAAAAAAGGAGAACAGAGAAGCAGAAAGAAACTCCAGGACAGGGTGAAAGAAAAGATAGACAAATAAAGAGGAGTGGAGTGTTGGACTCTGACAGGAGACTGGCAGAAAAACACTCAGTGGTGCAAATATCTGCAGGTTGAGATTGTTCCTGTTTTTTTATAGCTGAACCGTTAAGACTTAATCTTTGGAACATTTGCTACCCAACATGTCTATTGCCCTCATGGTAAGAATGTGGAACTGTCATCAACTGTCTCCTGATTTCATGTCAGAGTTTGTGAAACAATCCACATAGGAGAAAAAACTAAATAAAAAGTTAGAGAGAGAGGCCACATCATCCTATCTACAAGAAGCCAAACTGACTTTTTGTGTGATTTCATAGTCAAGAGTGGTCATTTTCTCTGCTTCATCCTACAACAAAGAAGAAGTTCAAAGACTGCGGAGTAGTACAGCAGTCTAAAAAATTTAGATATTGCACCAAAAAAATAGAAAGTTGTAAGATGTTATCTCATTTCACATCAAATATAAAGCTTTTGACAAATCCAGGCTAAATATTTTACCACTTTTTATTGCTCAGCAAATCAAGACAGATAGACAGACAGACAGACAGACACACGCAGGAACACACTAACACACACACACACACACACACACACACACACACACACACACACACACACACACACACACACACACACACACACACACACACGCCGGAGGATATTGAAGGGGCCAGTAAAGAAACTCAATAATTGATTTTTTAAGTAATCTCCTCTCCCTCCTTTAGTCACTAACTTCGTTTCTATATTGCTAGTTGGTGACATGTTTTCTGTGTTATACGCTCACACATGCATGCACACAGTACATGCAAAAAGACGTACACATAAGTAGTGGATTTACTTCTTCTAAATGTTCATATATGTTCTGCAGGAAAGTAAATGAGAATGTGGGATGGAAGGCGTATACAGGCTTTAGTATGGCTGCATCCTGTAAAAGAACAGACACTTTAACTAAAGGTCAGTGGGTCGCTTAGTGTTTCTACTCACTCTGTGGGAACTTTGGAGGGTTGTCGTTGACATCTGTCAGAGTGATTTTAACCTCGGTGGTCCCCGACAGTCCACCCATGTGACCACCCATGTCTTTGGCCTGGATGACGACATCGTACTCCTGGCGAGCCTCGCGGTCCATATTTGGCAGGGCGGTACGAATTATACCTAAAAAGACAGATTTACCATGATTTTGTTATTTCACAGATCTTGATGTCATTTTATGGCTCCTTAAATTTTACAGCAACTATCCAATTTGTGCATTTGTCTTTAAGTATACTTGTGGACATTTGTATATGTACTGTATGTAGTGTAAATATATGATGGACACTATATACCTTTTGGATACAAGTATCTTGTGTTTTATTCCAAATATATAAAAACTTGTCATTCAGATGCAATTCAAACGATAGTTATTCACATAAAAAGAAGGCAATATTTTTCAAACTCTTATTTGAAAAACCTGGAGGTAAGCAAAATCTAACAATGTGATTTTATTTCAATAAGACAACTGCAGTTTGTTTCATCTGAAAAAAAACCCCACATCATTACTCTTGGTTAGAAAAAAGAATTTCAGCTTAACACGTGTGAAGTCTTACTTTTCTCCATTCCAAGCCCTAGTAATCTCTCCTATCTGTTTAATTCATCGCCGGCTGCTCTCTTTCCATCCCCCTCTTTCTTTCTCCATGTGTCTGGGAGTTGAGGCTTTCTACTGTCATATTATGCCAAGTGTGTGTGCATGTGTGTGTGACAGCAGGAAAAGCTGATAATCTCCAAACCAATTAGAAATGTGAGCTATGGATTTGAGCCAGTCAAATACCCAACACTGGTTTGATTAGGCAGATTTGCTCAGTCCAAATCTCTCTCCCTCTCTGTGCCCTAACCACTCTCTCTCTCTCTATCTCTCTCTCTCTAAACCAATTTCTCACTCTCCATCGCTGCCCTAACCTGTCTCTTTCTCCTCGTCTTCACCCTGCCTGACCCAACATAGCTGTGTGTCTGCCCCTAACCTCTCTTCTTACATCCAATTTCTTCTTTTAATGCAAACCCAAATATTAGGCCAGGGCTTTGCAGAGACCAGGCTGAATGTCCTCTGGGGACCTCTTTTAACATCACTGCCTTCTTTTCCTCACAGATTTTCAGTGTAAAGGAACGTGCTGTAACGTGATCCCTGCAGGAGGCACTTCTTAGCTTTTTACATTAAGAGTGGTAGAGTGTAGAAATATGGGGGAAAGAAACAGTTTGTCGGTTTGATTTCAGCAACAAGCATTCTGCGCGTGGTGCATAGTGCATAGTGAACACAGCTGCTCACCAGTTGTTGCCTTTAAAGTTAGGATACACAAACATGCCTGATTCATGTGACTACACTGCTAAAAAAAAAATGCATTTTACTTTATTATAATAAATGCAGATTTTAGGACTGAGTTGAGGTTTTTTTTATACAGGCTATATATATATTTGACATCTATGAAAAAGTAAATTACCCAGTTAAGTTTGAACTAAAAAGATATTCATCGTCTGATCTGTTAGTTGGTCAAACGTAGCAGTTATCATTTTTTATATCACATAAGAAATATGTTATCATCACTGACATTTCCATTTAAAACAGGCTCCACAGAAACAGTTGACAGGTTGCCGATGGTGACCTTTTTGAGAAAGTGTCATCCAGTTCATGGCCTCTGGTGGCCATCACTGGCAACCAATCTTTAACATTTAAAAACTAAGTATTTAAAATTAGTTGTATTACAGATATTTTTGTAATTATACTGCAGACATGCACAGCACCCTACTCTCAAAAGCTGATGCCTTAAAATATGTTTCAAGCCCTTTAATCATTGTTATGTATTTCTTACTGGAAGTGACTCCAAAGGTGCAGCTTTTAGCCAAGGGAATATTTGGCCCTCTGATTCAAAAGGTACTGCAACCTGTATCTATTAGACTGATTGAACCAGTATATGTGGATGTTGAGTGGCAACCATGTGTGTGTTTTGTTCATATCTATAGGAGACACTACATCTTTGTGGAGCAGGGTTCAGTATGCAGCCTCACCTGTCTGCGACTCCACAGAGAAGTATGGTTGTCCTTGCAGGATGCTGTACACCAGCCTGGCACTGTTGCCATAGGTGGGGTCATCAGCATCTGTTGCTGTCACCTGCATCACTGACGTACCTGGAGGACAGACATGACAGATAAGTCAGAAGATGACTCTCAGAGATTCGGTTCAAGAAAAGTTTGACAAACACGGTTGTCGCAGAGTGTGTTTGATTCAGCTGCCTGCACTGGCTGCATGGGCAGAGGGAAAGAAAAACACTCTCCCTTCTCTCAGACATTGCAGCTAAACTGCACCTGAGAGGCTCCTCTCAGCTTTCATTTCTCTACATTTCATCATTTCCGGGCGGAGACATCTACTCACCAGTTTTGGGGATTTACATGTTTTAAATAAAAAATATTTCCCCCATGCATTGACAAAATTCCACAACCCCTGGATTTATAAAAAAACATTTGAAAACCTTCAAATATCCTAAAAGAAATGGGTCATTCTCAAGCACAGACACCGAGCCGTTTGATAATGTGGTGTTTTCCTCTCCACAACAGTAATTTACTTCCAGTTGATCTCTGTTAAATGGACTTGCAGTTAAGCTTCGCAAATAGGCCAAATAAATAAAATTTGCTAAAGTGTGAAACACATTTGATTAACTTTGCATAATTGTTGAGATGTTCTTCTTCTCACAGATATTTACAAATGTACTTCTGTTCTGCGCTGATCTTGTCAGACCAGTTGATCAACTGCTAACCATCATCCCTAACTTGAAAGAAAAGTACTATTGGCAGCTGAGACCTACAGAGGTACACATGTTGTATCTTATCAACAGCAAAAACGATGGCAGTTTACAATGCCAAACATCGACACTGCCTGCAGGGCAAGTGTTACAGCCTGACTAATTCTATTTACAGAATGTTTTGTGTTTTACGTGATGTTTTACATATCATTTAATCCCAATACATACACCATCTGATATTATATTAACTCCTCAGATCAAGATATATTTTAGCCTCTGTTTTTCGGCTGTGAAATTCAACTCAGATGTCATTATTACTATTTGGTGTAAAACATACTTTGATCAAATGTGCAACAGCAGAAGCCTTTCCCTTCATTACTTGGTAGATGAACATTAACATTTAGATTTGTAGTTGTGTACACAAGTTAAACATTATTTGCTGTGTAACATAAGGTCTACAGAAACAACATCTAAATATAGAATTGGCCATAGTTTAGTTCCATGTGTATGCTGTTTGGAGGTTTCCAGTTGCCCATAAGTGAACCACTCAATACAAAATCTGTTAGGAATAAAATATTATCAAGTTTAATTAAATCGTGGTCTCATTCTGTGCAGATTAAATGATCAAGAATGCCCATTTCAAAGAGAAGACTTTCTCTGTTCTGAATCTGAGTTCCATGGGGGAACATGGTCCTAGTTAGTCAGACTGCAGCCTTTCTTTCTGGTCTATGTTTTAGGATGAGGATGGCAACCAGTGGCCGCTCCCTGCCAGACTTCTGTATTCGGCTTTAGATGCAGATGGTAAGAAAAGCCTGAACAGAACTCATTCAGAGGTTCTTTCAGAAGTTTTTTTTTCTCCCTTTGGTCCAGTCCATTCACAGATTGGATTGCTCTGGCTTTCATGGTTTCAGGCAGAACCACTGCCAGTTTGGTTCATTCCAGGTCAGTCCTTAAGGGGTTGAATACTTTTCAAAGACCACATAATATGTGAAAAGAAAAATCTATCAAGATCAGAATCAGAAGTTAGGAGACTTTAAAGAGACATGGTCAGAGCTGTTGCCAATGCCAGAGTAGAGCAAAAAATATTTCCTTGCTTCTGTTTTTGGTTGAGTCATTATTTCCCCCCTTTGGGTTCACATAAAAAAAAAAAAAGTTAGAGAGAAAAAAGAAAAGGCTCTTTAGAGGTTGTTTTGCTGGCTAATGGAAGCGTCTGTTTCCCACTTCTCTGTCACTTCCAGTGGTCAGATTTCAGAGCTAATAAATAATGTATGAAAAAGGCTGTTTAGCAGACAAACAACACTGACGATGAACTCAATCAGTGAGTGCGTTGCCAAACGTCACTCAAAATGTAAAGGAGAGCTTCTTCAGCACTAAAAAGATGGAATTTGACCAGACCTCCTCAACTTTTGTTCTCAAATTAAATGTGATATTTGGACAGAAGTAAAACTGCTGATCAGTTTCCAGATTCCATTAAGAGTTTCACAAAGAGAATTTAAGAACTTTAAAATCTCTTTTTACCAATTAATTCTTCATCATCACTTTAGCTGTATGTATTGGGGTCTAAGATTTACATCTTGGACTGACAAAATATTTTATGAGTTATTTTATGACATTTCATCATAATAATTATCTTCTTTACCACTTCTGTTCACTAAAAGATTAGCCTTTCTCTTTGGCATTTTACTTTCATCTCAGGAAAAACAGGATACGGAGAAATGACAAATACAATTAGAATTGGAATTTATTCAGTAATAATTTATTCAATAATTAATAGGTGTAATTAGTAATGGGATCAAACTCACCAACATTGGACATCTCAGGCACCCTGGCATAGTACGGCCCATGTAGAAACTCAGGAGGATTGTCGTTGATGTCCTGAACTTTCACGATGAACTCCGATGGAGGCTCCAGAGGTTTATTAGTGTCTCTGTCCACGGCCTGGGCTGTTAAAGTGTACTGGGCCTGCTCCTCCCGATCCAGAGTTTTTGTAGCGTGGATGTTACCTGTCTTGTCATCAATAACAAAGATGGTTCCCGCACCTTCTCCGGACAGGATATACTTGATGTTGCCTTTACCTAAGTCTACGTCTGAGTGGAGCTGAAGGAGAACGAGGGATGAGAAGAGAGTGAGAAAAAATGGAGGAGAAAAATGACAAAGATATACGTGTAAGAGGAGGATGTAATGAGTGTTAAAAACATCTGGGGACAAACCGGCTTCTTTTCCTCAAACCTACAAATTAAAGGAGCCGAAAGACTGACGTTGACGGATAGAGCATTTGCTGAGAGAGACAGGCCAACACTAATAAGTAAGAGATTTAAAACCCTGCCATGAAAAAAAGAAGGATGCTCAACATTCAATTAAACCCTTGTTCTTCTTTTTACAGCCCCTCAGACTATGAAATATGACGCATTGTAAACATCATTTGTTGGTGGTTATGAAAGCCCCTGCTCGCTTTGACTGATGTTGTTTTTGTGGACGAGTCCCACCAATCATCTTCAGCCTGGGCTGTGAACATGACCTCTCTCTTTTTCCTATCTCTCTCTTCTTGACAAATGGGAAAAGCTCTTTCAAATCTGATTGGAAATGCTCTCACTCTGCGTGCCCCCACTATGAATGTCGTTGGGGGTGAGTCAGACTTTTAATTGAACAGAAAGAACATTTTATGCTGTCATTTAGAGTTTAATCCTGATTGATAAAAAGAAGACAAGTTGATGGTTTAATGCTTAATGAAGTCATGCTTTATTTTACTCACCCTGCCCACCAGGACCGGGTCAGGTCCAGTGTACTCCTCAATGACGAAGAACTGATTCCAGACCCATCCTCGCTTGGACCTGTGGAGTACCTGTCCCTCCTTCCCTGCCCTCTGTCTATGTCTGTGCAGTGACAAGTGACCTGCAAACACCAAACAAAACATCAGTACATTTCGGGAAAAAAATGATGAAGCTAACTTTCTATCATTCTGTGTTGAATATATGAATAGTTATGACAAGTGCAAGTTTTCTTTTCTACGTGGGTGGGAAGCAGTTGCCTCGTGCACAGACAGGGCCACGTTTGAATCATGGGTCACCAGTACAAATCCCAGCAGAGACAAAGTGGGTGGATGGTGAGAAGGACACATGCTTCAACAAGCAGTTTTTTAGGTGGTTCTTAGAGAGGCACTTAACCTCTGTTTGTTGCAGCACAACTTGTCTAACAGGGGACGCCTGTGGTTGTAGTAGCTGCCATGTGTGAACATCTTTACCCCTTTTCATAGTACAAGTAACAAAACTCCACTGTCATTATGCCCTAATGCCCCCCTAATAGAGCTTATAACTGACAGGCAACACCATGCAAAAAATAGGCATAAAGTTTGTGTGCACACTTGAAAAAATTGTTTTATTTACCATTTCTATCTCAACCAATTCCTACTTCAACTGCTACATTCAAGGATATAAAATGTGTCATATTCACAAGTACATTTATTTCAATTATTAAAAGTAACTTGTGGCAACGTTTATCTTCCAAGCTAAACTCTTTAATAACTCAAAAAGAAGCTGAGTGTTCAAAGTCTGGGGGGGGGGGTCTGCCCCTGAATGCCAAACCATCTGTGTGTTAACAGGTTCAAATAGAAGTATTGAATTCTGAATTCAGAATGCATCATTGGTACAATTTAAAGGGAAATTGTGTCGCCTATTTCAAGCTTGTTGCCATTGTTCTGGATTAGATATGTCGTGTGGAAAACAAGGGTTATTGCAAATGTTGCTCTCATCATACCTGGATGTCTGTGTCTGTGGCCCCTTTGATCCAAAGAAGCATTCCCTCTCCTGGTTCCCAATGCGACGCTACAGAGTGCCGACACTCCCACCAACACCAGGAAGGCCCTCAGCAGTCCAAGGCCCTGTCTCTTCATTGTCATCTTGCCCCAAATTTAGCAACCGTGCACGTCACTACTGCCCCCTACTTTCTGGTTTCCTCTCAGTGGAGCCCTGCTCCCACTGAGGTGGTATCCTGGTTTGGCTAATGAACTGCTGCTGATGAACTTCCTAGTTCATTAGCTGAAATCAGGGCTTGTTGGTGCAGATTCTCATCACCACGTTACTGCCTTCTTTCTCCTTGTTTTTCTTTCTCTTCTTCTTCTTCTCTCTCTCAGGTCTTTCACTCCCTCTCTCCTCTTGTCACAGAGCCTAAAAAAAGAGCAGAGGAAAAAGCTGATTTTTCAACATCAGTCATAACAATGAAAACGTGCTTTAGAACAACGTAATTAAGCAAATTTAGATTCAGTGTGATTAAACTTTCCTTTTGCAGACAAATCAATCTTTGTTAAAATGATGAATTTAACACTGACAGCAAAAACAACATAAACAGTTCAGTAATCATTCATGCCTGTCTTTTTCAGAGCAGGATGTTAATTGACTGCAGTTGAGGATCTGACTTCTTAAATAGTTGTTGTGTTGATTAGGACATTGTACTAATTACCCAGATGATGCTGTCTGAAAACTCATTAGCTTTAATTCAATTAGACGCAGACTGATTCAATGTGGGAGGTACAGCTCTAAACAACACCAGATCGTTGAATCGCTCTGTTCACAGCCCTTTCAAATACAATTAAAATAATGAAAAGCAAACACAGGGCTATATCAAAGTCATAAAAAGACAATATGGTATCATTCTGTCTCAGACTCGTTTAAATCTTTCTGTTTCAGTCGGATCTTTTGAACATCCCTTTCATCATCACTGCGATGATTTAAGCATCTTTGCCTTTGCTGTGAATGAGTCAGCAGGATGAAAATGACATTTGATCCGTCAAAAAATGCAATGTGTCCATCAAAAGAAGCAGGAAAATGTCTGCTCATTGCAAGAAACTTTAGGCAAATGTGCACTTGAGGCACAATGAAGCGCCAATGAAGGCACAATGAAGTGCCTCAAGTGCAGTTCTGGCTAAAAACTCTTGGCATTTCGACAGGCTTAGTTGATTTTATGAGAGGAATGAAGGCATGAATCACCTGCTGCCAAGTGCATTAAATACAATCTGAAGGTGATAAGGCCTCATGCAGTCAGCCATGATGAATTTCAACCTAACGGAACAAACACACATGGTTCTTAGGGCGCACTCATACTATGGCAATCTGTATCGTGCGTCACCCCTAAAGTCCATCATTTTATAATCAGTCCTTCGAAAATCAACGCCAACGGTTTTTCAGATGTAATACCCTTATGTGTGTTAATATTTTTTTTATCATCAAACTCCTTTATATTTTCAAAAGTCATGCGCATTTCTAACAAGTTTGTTTTATTTCTGTTCATACTGCCTTGCAAAAACAGCACATAATTACCTTATAGTGCCTGATTACACTCCAAGAAATAAAGCCACACTATCGACGCACGCACCTATGTAAGATATCTCTTCTCAGCCCAACCCAGCGCTTATAGATGATCAATACACCATTTGCACACAGCTGCCTCTCCAACGAACCTCCATTATGGCACCTGACATGCTTCACGGGATATTTGGTACTCACACACAGATCCTTCATGTTACTCACAAAGACCTTAAGTGCCTCTCACTTAAGAGCCAGACAAGCCAGGCAAGAATGGCCTAATTAGACCTCAAAATAATTGTGCCTAAGCCGTTAGTGTTGCTGAAGCCTTCTACACATGTAAGTAGCAAACGCTGAAAGTTTCAGATCAAGTCCTTTAACATCTGCGACTAATTAGCCCGAGTAGCTGTATATGTGTAGATGTAATCACTGATAGTATAAGTCTCAAAGATTTGTCTTTTTAATTTCCTTTTTGTACCTTTTTATTCCACCATACTTTTCTGTTCTTTGCCTCTTCCAAATAGGTAGACTGTGTGTGTGTGTGTGTGTGTGGGTAGGTGTGGGTGTGTGTTTAATATTCAATAGCTCAGCAGATGAGAAAACTCCCTCAGGGCTCATTGGCTCCTGTTGACCACATGACCAGCCAAGCTGGAAGTGTTGATAGTTAATCCCATGTCGGCTCATCATTCGGTTAATTATCCTTGAGTCTTAAATGATTGATGCTCATATCTGGTTGTGTTCTTGTTTGGGTGTGTGTGCTTCCTCCTGCCTATTGTTTAAATGTTACATTTTTAGTATCCAGCTCGTCATTTTTCTTACCTCTACAGTAAGGTTTAATAAGGAAAAAAAACAAGCATTGAATAGAAGTTGGTGAAGATGGGAAGAAGATTCAACTGTGTAAAGTGAATGTGTCCTTTTTCGAAATGACTGACAGTTAGTTAGCCTAGAGGTTGGGTTGCGCACAATTTACAGAGGCTACAGTTCTCAAAGCGGGTGGCCCGGGCCCTGATGCTCCTTTCCTGTGTGTCATTCCCCATCTCTTCACCAATTTCCTTCTCTTTCCACTGTTATTTTTTTGTGTGCGGCAAATTTGATGAGAAACTTAAGATTGGCCATCAATTAACAACAAGAGAATAACTCAGGAATCTTTTTTTCTTTTTTGAGGTTGGTTGTCACTCTCAGGTGAAGCCGCTTGCTTCAGAGTGAGCTTTAACTTCAAAAGGAGAAGAAGAAGAAGAAGAAAAAAAAGCTAGAAACCAAAACAATTATGAACCCTGGTGTGCACTTGTTGTGCAAAGGAGCTGAAAGCTGCTCGGCTGTGTCTATTAACAGCCTCTCTCCATCCGTCATCTATGTGTCAAATGAAGTGGCTGCTTTAATTAACAAGCAAAAAAATAAAGCAAGTCAAAAATAAATTGCTTGCACTGGGAAAAAAAAATCTGATACCCTGCGACCGGTCATCTGCTATCTGTCTCACAAACTGTCAAGGCAAAGTCATGAAAACGCAACAATAACAAAACAGACTGATAGCAGCGTAAGAATGACAGCACAGAAGAAACAAATCTGAAATATTCAGTGTGACTGTGAATGTGATTTGCGTGACTTGCTTGATGACGATGAAGCGATCCTGCTGTCGAATTAAAACAAAGCAGTTCTTGGAAAATTATTTCCTCTTACAAAGATAGGAAATTAACAAAACAGATGAAATATCCTGTCTATCCAGTCGACTTCTTATATAATTGAAGGAGGATTCTTTGATTCACTTTGATGTGTTTTTTTAGGCCTATATACCTTTCTCTAACATCCCTATTGGCTGAGAGAGCTTAACAGAGAGAGAGAGAGAGAGAGAGAGAGAGAGGCAACACAGAAACAGACAGTGATAATGACTCCCTGGGGCGAGCATGCCTTTTGGCCAGACCGCTTCCTCTGTCTGAATACATGACTCAAGAGTCACATTAGAATAGCCCACAGCATATTTAAGTGTGTGTGTGTGTGTGTGTGTGTGTGTGTGTGTGTGTGTGTGTGTGTGTGCGCTCTGTGCCCTTACTCCCTTGGGCTCATAGCAAAGCTGTGAATCCATGACTCAAGTGTTGGATTTGACTACTGTGATTCATTGGCTAACATTAGACCCACACTATGTGTGAGTGTGAGTTTGTGTGTGTGTCGAACAGGTCAGAGCAGTAGGGCAGAAAAAAAGATCCAGCTTGACATGCCCCGTCGGCAGAAATATTTTCACATTATTTTCACACTAATTGACGACTCGTGTGCATATTGGATTATGAAAAGCTATAGGCGTTAATGGAAAAAGGGAACTTTTTATAGTTTGACGAACGGTTGGAGGAACCTCGCTGCTGTTTTCTTTTCACCCTGCAAAAACTGGAAACTGTTTTAGTTTAAGAATGAAACATGAAGAAGGACTTATTTCACTGCTATTTCTTAGATGGTCCTTTAAAAAGTTCAACAGTGATTAAAGCCTGGACACTGTTTGGTCAGACAAGTCAATACAACATCAGCAACCGCCATCTTCTTCAATCAATCCATCAAACTTTATTTATATAGCACCTTTCAGACAAATTAAATTGCAGTTCAAAGTTGCTTTACAAGAGTGCAGGAAAGTTTTTGACGAAAAAGTAGTTCATGAAATCATTTGGAGACAGAGACTTAAACCAGTGTAAAAGGTTTTTAAAAGAAGCTTAATAAATGGACTGAAAGGACTTATATGGGTGATCATAGTTCTTCATTCAAAAAGACCTTTAAAACATTTCTTTAGTCATACAACCAAGGATGCAGAAAAGCACACAGTAATGGCCATGTAATATTATCTTGTTGATACAAGTAGCATGAACTGCAATACAATAACGCAGGCCATCTTACTTTAATGTTATTGGCCAATTTAGTGTTCCCTATATGTGTGGTTAAGTGCATTCACTGCTTCTTCTTTTATGGGATACCATATACTGTATAGTCAGCTGGTTGTTATCACAGAATGAAAAAAGTGTAGTTTTGTTTCAATTGGAATGGAGGAGACCTGAGGGACCATGAAGAAAGCGATTGCCTAATCCAAGAGGTAGACAGTGTTACAGAGAAGGTTAGAAAATATTTTATACTGTACTGTGAGTATGACTTTGTTTCCAAGGTCCAACTGGTGCAATTATTTTATTTAATAAAAAGGGCTTTAGGTCATTTTTTTTTTTTTTTTTAAATATTGCAATATATATTGTGGACTTGATATTATCATATTGTGACATTTGGATATTGTGACATCCCCCGTGAGTAATGTACTCTCATTTAGTTCTTATAAGAGCAAGTCATTTTCTAATATTGACTAACAGCTAAGTATTGCAATCACATCTGTAAAGTCTCTCATCTTTCCCCGTTATGATTTGAAACACAATGATCAGCACACAGTCCTCATTATGTGGAATATTAAAAGGATGGCTGCTCTTTCTGCTTTCAGAAGTTGTTTTAGTCGGTAAATACATTTCACTCTTCTTCATTGTAAAGCTCTCCTTCTTCTTTTTCTTTTCTCCGTGGCTGTGCCTCTTCATCAGAGTAGCTGTAACAGCTAGCTGGCTGCAATCCTTGTGATAAAGTCCAGAACAAAAAGAGAGCACATATGAGCGTATCAACTACTGTCAATTTTGGGGACAATTTCTCTCTACTTAAAGCTTTCTTTCTTGGTGAGTTTCCTATTATGTGTCCGTTTAGGCTTATACCAGTCGACATATTATGATTGTATTATTTACGGATGAACAATTGGATGTGTATGGTTCAAAATCTTAGTAGTGTATTGGCTTTCCTGGTTTCTGTTTCAGTTATCCCTCTTATAGATTGAAACACTAACAGTTAATATATAATAAAAACAA